TTTGATGAGAAATACGCTCGCCTCCGGCGGCTTCGCCGCCTCGCCTCGCTCTGATTTGTAACGGTCCATAGCTCGGCTTCGCTTCGCACTGTTCTACAAAGACAGTTTCTCAGTTTCAGTTTTGGTAGTGTAAGAAAATTATATTGGGCAGACTGAAAGGGTTAATTCCAATACTTCAATGGAGAAGTAATAGGCGAATTGTTTCTCATTGTAAGTACATACCTACGAACTATCGTTTAAAAATTATAAAAGAAAATTGGCAAACAGACGACCTAACGGTTTTTTTTATACAAAAATTTCCAGGACATTTATTTTTCTATCGATTCAGACGGGGAGCGGGGCATATGGTAGCTAATAATTCGAGTTAAATATTCCCCATTGAACGTACCCGTCTGACAAGTCTCTTAAAAACATTATAACCGAAAAACTCACGCGTCTATGTCACCCTTAAGTTAAAAAGCCTTCGGATGACTTCCAATTTCAAAATATACCCAAAACGTAAGCGGCCACGTATACATTAAGTCTTCCGCAATAACTTTTCCATTGTAACATTATAAATATTCTCGTTCCTTTAACTAAGATAATTTATACAAAAAATTTGTGACATTAAAGAAAAAAAAGGTGCGCGGGCCCTCGGGTTCGAACGCGCGATCGTCCAATTCAAAATACTGCGTGTTAACCGTTACGCCACCGTGGCTTTCGATAACAAATATTTTAAACCACTAGAAGTACGACGAGATTACGTAAATTCGCAAATTATTTAAACGCATATTATTTACTCTACACTTATTCGAAGCACTTTTAAAGTTTATAATAGTCAATTTCAAACACTTACCGACGATTTTATTACGTTAATTTCCTTATAAAAAACACTTTTAAAACTTAACGGGATCCGTTAGACAGTTAACCCACACTCAAACTTTATCACTTAATTTCGAACACAAATCGATCACGCACCGTCCCGAAACCGACGTTAACACATTCCTCGTACTTTTCTCGAATTTTTGAGACCTCAATCGAAATTCTCCGTCCAAAATTAAGCTCGCAATTAATTAAAAAGGCAGTTAGCGCGCGTTCGGCAATCTTCGGCGCTTAATGCGATCGAAAAGCAAAACGAAGCACGTGACTTTTTGCAGACCTTCGGGAGAAGGCGCCGTCGTCCGAGTTACCTCCTCGCGGTAAACGGAAAAAGAAGGAGAAAACTTGCCCGCAGGCACCTACGCCGATTCCGACCCCGTATCTCTTCGCCGGAACGCGCTATTCAAAATCTCCGGTTTTTCTCCTTTCCTCCCCCTCCGGGAGGTGATGGGGCGACCCGCGACCCCTTGTCTCGTAGATCTCGTCGAGATCTATAATCGCGCAATTGTACGTTTCGCTCTAACTCTAACGGTTCGGCCTGTAGAAGGCGTCAAATTTGGAAAATGCGAAAAACGCCTTCTTCACGACCGGTATTCCGGGTCGCGCCGTTTCCGCACCGGGGTTTCACTTTTAATGGGCACCGCGGCAAAAAGTCGCTTCTCTCCGGGAATTTTCTTAACCACACCGAAAGTCGCGCCAACTATCTAAACTCCCCGAACCGGCGCCTCGACTCCCTAACTCGAACCGTATAGCTACGGAAAATTTTTATCCGCGACCGCGCACCTCGACGACGATGCTCCCCACCTGCCAAACGAAATTTCCCAGGTCCCAAATTCTCGGAATCGATGCTAAACCGCTTAAAGAGCGTACGATAAGATTTTCACAAAATCGCTTCGGTTTTTCGATCCTCGTTAATTATTACTTAAATTTTGATTCCAGGTTTTATATCACTCTGCATAAGTCCAAATATTTTTAAAATGTGGAGAATATTCAACCATATCATAATACAAAAGCACTCTACCGAAAAATCTTATCTTCAGGGCATTAAGTTACTCCGCGCAATCGTTGACTCACCCTGTACATTTTATAACTTCGCTAAAAACTGAATTATAAGCGCACATAAATTGGTACTTGACAAGTTATAATCTCCCGCTCTTTCGCTATTTGAATCTCGCCAACGAGAAATACCGAAAAGGTACTTCTGAACACAAATAATGACCTCGACTGGCGTGCTTAGAAAAACCGCATTTTCGTCACGTGGTGGGCTTTAAACCGAAAGGAACGAAACTTTTAGGATCGCTTTCCGCAATACGGATTTAGTTATCACATGTTGTCGCCAGTAATACTTTCGTTCAAGTTCTCTATGAAGCGGTACATGTGGAAATTTCCCTATATTGACCAAATTAAATTTTTGAAACCTCCTGTTGCAGGTCGCCGAATTCTATAACTCCAGAGCCGAACAGGGTTTGAAAGCTTCTTATAAATTGGTGAGCTTTAATTGCATTATGGGGAAAGTTAGTATGTTGTGGGTAACTGGACAATAATCCGACATAATAATCACAACTGACCCTGGATCAAATTGTGGTAATTCCTAGTGAACCTAACTGTGGGACCGGTTACTCTAGCTCGATAAGTGAGTGTTTCTTAACTTGTAGCGCACCACAAATTATATAGAATGTGAGAGATAAGCAAATTACGAAGTTTAGTTAAGTCCTACTGCCGTATTATACACTCTGCGTGTACCATTCTTATTGTACCCTAATCGGCGTCACGTTCCGCAGGATATACATTTTAAATCCGTAGATTAAACAGCATTAGTTCAAAGAAGGAAGGCATTTTTGGTGGTAGAAGAAAGTTAGAGATAAGTACTTGAAACAACTTCAACCAATCGCAGCGCATTTCGGAGCTCCGAACGTCAGAACTTCACATTAGGAGTTCCTCATTCGCGGGACAGGTTCTCATGTACGTTCACAGCGTCTACAAAAAGGAACAAAAAGTGCTGGAAATGAATACCGTGGCATTTTGTCACCCAACGGCGAGGCTAGAACGGAAACCTTGAATTAAATAATTTCATTCCCGAATTATCATTGCAAGTACTGTTGAATGTTGGCACAAGGGTGCTTTTCGGAGCGGCCGCTTGGTGCTCGATACTCGAGCGTTTACTTAAAGTGCTCGGCACTCGAGGTTTTTTTCTGCCTATGAGCGGTTTTTCCGCTCATGAGCGTTTATTTCCGCTCACAAACGGTTCTTTCCGCTCCCGAGCGCTTTTTCCGCTCACGAGCACTTTTCCCGAGCGCTCGCGAAAACCGCTTTGCAAAACAACTTGACACTAGCGATCATTTTTGAGAAAATTCGAGCGCTCGTCGCTCGAGCGGTTTTTTAGAACGATAGACCCAGATCTGCAAGAACGTAAAGGGGATCATCGGATCACCAGCACTACCAGCAGCAGCTCAACAACGAGAGAGCTTTAGTCCACAGCACCGGCATCAAGGAGGTAGGCTTTGTGTATCCCTTTTTTAATATAAGGTTATATCAAAAAGTACGAAACATACGAATATTAATTTGTTATTCATTTTTAAAAGTAACACGGAACGATATGGTGATTGTTATATTGTGCATTATTGTTGTGCACGAATCAAACTTTCCACATCTTTTTCAATGTGCACATTCGGATTACCAACAATGTAGTTTTCATATTTGTTTACGTAGGAAAAGGTTACTTGATATCAATGTTTAATTGTTGAGCGCGCAGAACGGCTAAACATGGCAACGAAGGGACGAGGAGGTCTATTTTCACTACCAAAAAGAAGTATTTTAACGTCATACGTGATCCTACTTCTAACGGAGTGTCTGTTGGCAAACCCTTGTGAAATCCTTCTGACTACCGGGAGAACATAATCGCTGACAGATTTAATTCGATTTAGAACTTTACCAATCTTGTAATTGGGGAATATAACGCACGAAGAGGTGGTCCCAATACCCTGAGTATCAACTTTTGTTAAATTTTTTTGGTTGCCAGGAGAACATGTCGGATGAGGAGTCAACAAATTGCCATTGCATCTCATATCTCCCAGCTCCAAAATTTCGTGAAATTGGTGCTGGAGTAGTGCAATTAATTAATTTGGTATTGAAATGATTAAAATCATGATTGTTGAAATGTCGACGCCATATTTTCTTATCGCTCCGCCAGCCATCGATCGCATTACTAATGTAATGTCGACTAAGTTCATGAAAAGCACTTTAGTGTGGATATAACAAAAACGTAGTAATTACGTCGTAAAGTACTGCCAGTGTATATAAAAAACACATTAGCGTATATGTTTACCCACACAATCAGTTTGTTCATTTGGCACTGAGTACCTACCTAACGATTCAGTTTGAGTGTTGTAATAGACGTAACACGACAATGAAAGTTACAACGTTTGCATCATGTGTCATCTTTGTATCTTTCTTAAGTACCACAATGAGCATTTCATTGAAAAGCAGTCGGACATCGCGGAAGGTATGTACGGAAAAAGTGATCCAAACGATTTTTGGAGACGAAACCCTTTACTATGTTTTCAATGAAAGTAGTGACCTACTACCGTTCAATATTAGAAACCCAAGGGTTGTTATTAACATCAGTCATACCATGCATTTCATAAGTAAGGTGGTTTCTCACAATTTCGTATTCGAAGTCAGAAATATGGAATCTTTTGAAAAATCTATTACGTATGTGTTGACAAAATTTCGTTGGAATGTGTCTTACATCAATGGAAGATTGC